ATATAACTTACTTTTTATTGAATGTATCTTGCATTCCTGATGGATGTTTTCTGGGTTTTGCCACACATTTTAGTGTTTAACATTAAGTTATTTTTTTTTACATGCATTAGTGTGAGTTTTCCCCACATAGGAACACTCATCTAAAAAGATGACATACCACATGGGTTAAGTGCCTTTTTTAATTGAAAAGCTAACAAACTGTCCAGTTACATTTCTATCAGAAAAAGCCACAAAGTGGGTAGTAACTAATCTCTAGGCAATATATTCAAAGCTAAGAGAATTAGAAATTAAAAAACAAAACAAAACAAAACAAAACAAAAACGAGTCCTCAGATCCCATTAAGGGAAACCCGCTACACACAAGTTAATCATTACCCATGTTACTCCTTGATTCTAGGAGGCTGGAAGACATGCTAATAACCATACTCAGAACATGCGCTTCAAGTAGTCTTTCTCCAGTTCCCAACTCATGAATTAAGATAATATTTTGTTAAGTCTATTTCAGAAAACTCAGTGCAAGTTGTTTTATGTGCAATGCCAACTTTTAAAAGATCACTAAAGTTAACTGGACAATAAACGAGGCAGAAATCATTTTACAAAAAGAAAGGAATGACCAAAATGTCACCTTCTATAGAGAATCCACAGGTCAGTTTTATTCAGAGTGAAGAAAAAAGAAACTTTTGATCATACTAGAAGAAAATCAGACACAGGTTTGGAATCTACTCAAACTACACATGCAAGGAGAACAATATTCTGCTAATACAATGGACCTGCTGCTGCATTTGTCTACTGTTTGTCTGATATTAATGATGATAAACAGAGCAGTGCAACTAGTATTTGGGGCAATCCTTATAGTGTTACAGCATCAGACACAACATTCCACTTGTCTTCACACCACTGGTTCTCTGGGCATACCTGGGCTTCCTCCTCTTCAGCAAAGTCATTTTTGATATAGAAGGTCTTGTGAATCTTCTTAGGAGTTTTCCCCTTGATCATATTGGCCACAGTCTTGCATGTAACATCAAGCAAACATTTGATGTCTAAGTAGTTTGCAGCCAGAATAAGTTCAAAAAGTGTTCCTTGGTCAATTTTAGGGAATTCTTGTTCCCAAACAGGGATATCGTCTGTTTACTTTTCATTGTTCTCATAGCCCTCAGGAAGAGGAGGGTCATTCCTGTGGTGGGCACACCACTGAATGACTTTTTAAAATATTGCTGTATTAACTTTTGATAGAGGAACTGGATCACCATCTCCTTCATCATCCATTCCCAAATCTGCCTTTTAGGAACACTTGGGTTGCTTTTACACTCTTTCTTAGTGACCATATCATACTTTTTCATTCAACAGGTAGTTGATGAACAGAGACTTCCAATTTGGTCTTGATAGTCACAGACTGTTTAGCAATTTCCACATCAATTTCAAATATCTCTCCATCAGAACTCTGCAACTTAATCAAAGGCTTTCAGACTGTTCAGTCTGAAAGGATGGCCAGCCAGAGGCTGACAAGAGCTCGGTGGCATCAGCACAATAAAAGAAAGGCAGAGGAAAAGGCCATCACCCGAATTTAAGAGTCAAGCAGATTCTGTAGAGTAATCATCTCCCTTTCCGCATTTGCATCTACCTATAGCCATGTTAGGGACACTTTGGAAATGATTTGTGGAGTAGAAAACTTATGGAAAACCATGGACATTTCATGATCACAAATGACCAACCCTGACATCAACTTCCAGACACACCAAAATGGGCTGTCAGATTTAGCAAATAAAAATACAGTACACCCAGTTAGATTTTAATTTCAAATAAACAATAAAATTTTAACAATATAAGTATGTCCCAAATATTACATGGGAGTTCACTAAAAATTATTTTGTAATTAAAAAATTTGTCATTATACTAAAAACTTACTCATTCAATTTAGTGCATTGTAGTACACTGAAAATTATTCTGTACTAAAAAATTATTCATTATTTACCTGAAATTCAAATTTCATTGGGCATGCTCTATTTTATCCGGCACTCCCATGCTGAGACATTCTAGTAGCAATGTTTTTTTTCTCTTTTATTAGAATATGAGTCCGTTTATGGTAGGGATGAAGTAATTCATACTTAAGCAGTACATGATACATAATGGACACACAACAGAAATGAATGAATGTAAAGGATACATTTTTAAGAATCCCATATTCATTCTCCCCATGAAAACTCTTGTGTTTTGAAATTTTTGTCAAATCCTCAATTAAGTAACCATTATCTACCTCTAGAAATATTCTTTACCTTTGTAGATCCAATTAATATTGTTACTTCTTAATTCTTTGTTTAAATTTTTCATATTAATGGCATGTTTTACTTATTGAGAATGATAATACTCCCAGAGCTCTGGTTTATACATGAATTTATATTTACAAAATGCTCTGGGATGGTATGTAGATGAGAAGAAAGTGGCTGTCTTCTAGTTCACTGAGTTAATGCTTTAGATAGATGTACTCTCTGTCTCTGTCTCTCTGTCTCTTTCTGTATTCTCTCTCTCTCTCTCTCTCCACACACACACACACACACACACACACACACACATTCCGACTCTGAATAAAGTCACGTAGTTTTACAAGTTTATAAATTCAACTCACCATAGCTAATGCATACTAATCAGGTAACACATTTCAGAAATGACCATGACACCAGTAAAATTGTGAAATATGAGATACAGTATGTTTCTGATGTGCCTGCCCTTCTGATGTCTTCCTTTCTCCAATACCTGGGCTGTTTCAGTGACCCATTTTCCAAGGACCACAACCTCCCACTCCATTATCGCTCCCCACAACTATCAGAACCACATCAGCTGATCCTCCGGGTCAGTTTTCCATAGCTGTCACTCAGTCTCACAGAACTGGTTGCTATCCTGCTCCTTGTACAAACCACAATAGCAACGTGACTACTTCTTCAAGGTAACTTTTGTGACTTCCCAGGCGAATGATAATAATCCTAACTATAAGAACCAAATTAGTAGAAACCATAGATTCATTTCCCATTTTACCAGAGCAACTTTTATTTCAACAGTGCTTTTGTTTGGTGATCTAACTCAACAGAATGACTAGTGATGTGACTTTCTGGCCAAGTAAGAGAAGAGTTAGTGTGATGCTTGTTGTGACTGTTGGATTATTCTTGCAGGATAGCAAGGTATCCTTGCTAATTGGGACCTCCGGGAACACCATACATTCCCCTGAGCAAACCTAGCTTCCTCCAAATAGTTGAAGTTCTTGGATGTTTCTTTCATGGTTCCTCCTTTGTGTTGTATTTCAGGTACAAGCTGATCCACTAAGAAATCAATGTTTGCCATAGTCTAACCACACTCAATCTGCTCAAATTTAATTCATGCAGTATATTATTTTTATAACATAGGACATCTGCTTCTTTCATTCTTGTCCCCACTGCCTTTGACATCTATTTTTTCCTACTAGTCCTTCTTGCTTAACTATACATCTCTAGGAAACCTTCCTTTCCTACTCCAGTCAATATTAAATAAACACTTTCTCTGAACTCTCAGTGCATTTCCAATTTTTATACACATACACGCTTCCATTTTCTTCCTATGTGGAAACTCATATGAGCAACTATCAATCTCCATAATACTTCTTGCAAAGGTTTCAGCATTTCTATTTCTATTCACAGAAGAATAAAATCAAGGATCACTTTCTTAATATTGATATGTATTCCTGAATAAACACTCTAAATAGTTTCAAAATCTGTTATTAGACAACTATAATTAATTCCTGAAGCAATAACAAACTGCACCATTAGCTCTGCATATTTAGCCAAGTGTTCAGAGGCTGTGGATATTAGTGAGAATTGGTAGTAACACTTTATAACCCAATTTTGTATGCAATAAGTTTTCTTTAAATTTTTTAAAGCTAGAATACTATTTTTTTGACACCAGAACAGGGCACAGGAGTACACACTGTACAGATACCTACATCAAACTGTTACTAAGAATACCCTAGGATAATTCCAGAACTTGGCTTTCTGTACCTTAAATGGGACTCCTAAAAGGCTCCAAATTGGGTCTCATATAAGCAGAAAAATGTACTAATAGTTAAAGAATATCACATAAATGAAAACTCATAAATTTTCAAGGCTGGGTATAGTCAGGCTCTTGCAGAATGCCAGGTTACCTTATCATTGTTTCCTTTAGGCGCCAATGAATTCAACAAACATTTAGGAAACATCTTTATTTTTTATTTTTATTTTTTTTGCCATTGTGCTAGGAACTGGGCTTATATATTGATTTTATACTCTTCAGTCAAGCAATTAAAAAATCTTGCTGTGGGGGTCTGTGCTAGGAGGACTTGGGTAGTTCTCTCCAGCAGGACCATTGCCGTATTGAAAGATCCCCCAGGCAGCTGTGCACAGCAGGGCGGTTTGACTGGGGTCTAGGGAAGGGACAAGGTCAGACTGGTCACAACCAGGGCTGGAGATCTGGAGTCAACTGCCTCAAAGGTAATGGGGTCTACCACTTTGGTTATTTGGAAAATGGAAAGAAAAGGGGAGAAGAATCCCATGTACTCAGGCGCCCCCGCCGCTTTCTGATTGGACTCACTAAGCATCTGCAGAGAGAACAACAATAAAATGAAAAACATTCCCGGGGTGAAACCCAAAGGTCAACCTCTGGCTGTGCGGGACAATGGGGGGTGGGGGGGTTCTGGCCTTCTCTTCTCCAAAGTGATGCAGGAGTCTTAAAGAAGAGACGTTTTTCTCCGGGAAGATTCTAAACCCCCAGCGGGTTCCACTAACTCCGGGGCAGCGAAAGCACTGGCAGCAGACCGAGGGAGGAGTGTCGCTGTCTGAGTTGCCACATTGGGATCCGGACCCAGAGCGACAGCCGCGCCCCTCCGCCCCCCGCGCGACCCCGGCCCGCCGCACGCTCCAGCGCGCCGGCCCGCGCCCCGCCCCGCCGGCGCCGCGGCGCGCACAGCCCGGCGAGCGCGCACCCGGCACTCGGGCGCCGCGGGCTCGGAGCGCTCAGACCGCGGCCGCCGCAGCCGCGCAGCAGACAAACTCCCGCACGCCGGCGGCATGCGCCTCGGCTAGCGGCCCCGGGCCCCGCACCGCCACGCGTCTCTCTCTCTGCCTCTCTCTGCCTCTCTCACACACACGCAGACACACGCACACGATCTCATATCTATACACTGGAGGATTAGAAAAGAACATTTCCTGCGCGCCCCCTCCCTCTCCAGCCTGCGAAGCAAAGGAGCCGCGCGGCGCGGGGCCCGGACCGTCTGGAAATGCTCGAGCTAAAGCGCCTCCTCGCTTGCATCCAGCTGCTGTGCGTTTGCCGCCTGGGTGAGTGATCAGACCCCGCTGGGGTTTCGGCTCCGGGAGCGCCGGGGCGCGGGTGGGGGATTTCAACGTATTCGCCACTTGCTGCCGTCGCCATCTAGCAAGGAGGAAAAAGGGACGGTCCACGGGGCTCCCGCGCGGCCGCGGCGTTGCGACGGGTGTCAGCCGCGTGGGAGACGCGCGCCCCTCCCCGCGCCGCGCCGCCGCCCGCCCTGTGCCCGCGGGGAACGCGCCCCGGGCCCCGCAAGACGCCCGCGGGGTTCCCGCGTCCCTGCCGCCGCCGTTCGCCTCTCCTCTTCTGCTAAGTGTGGAGAGAGCCTTTTAGATGCACATAACGAAGATTAAAAAATAACCAGAAATGCAACCGTGGTGCGAGACTACAAACTACACTGTATTTTTGTTGTTCATTTTCATGCTACAGGTATTGTGGGCTTAGATGAAAAATACACGTGTCTGGTGTGAATTGCACACACACACACACACACACTGTGCACACCTGAAAGGTAGTAACAGGAACAAGCACCAACCTGACTTTTCAGTGTTTTCTAGTACTTTCAGTTTAGTCACATTCAAGTCCAGGCAGTTACTTAAAAAAAAAAAAAAGTTCAATCAAAATCTCTATCTGCATTCTGCCGCTGCTGCCAAAGTCAGAGGAGAGCTGCCGGTCCATGTATTTATTCATGGATTTGTCTTTCATCCACCACTCTCCAGGTTGCACATTTAAAACTGAAATTGCATTCTGAAATAGCCAGTTTGAGCATTTGCCTGGGATGCAGATTCAAGTTTTCCAGTCATTTTCCGGAAAAATTGTAAGATTGGGTTTTCGCATTTTATTTTTTCCTTCATGAAGATTTTGCATAACAATGGACTATAATAGATTTGAAGACATTAACCTGAAAGTTACAAGATGTTGTGCCTCAGTTTGTGAGTACAGGTACCTAACTCTTTTCAATCAGATGAACCCAAGTTTTAAATTTCAGATGGTTCATAATAGAGAGTAAATATTAAACCTACACTTTCATCCAATAGATGGTGCTGCTTTTGGCACAGTAAGGTTTGCAAACAGAAAAATCATTTTTCAAGTTCTAACTAATGAGACTTGTACAAAAATATGGTCATAATTGCCCATAGTCCACTACATACATGAATATGATTTAAATTCCAAAAGCTTTATAAAAGTGCTCAAGGCTGGTGTGATGCACACAGTTGACATATGATACTTGCAGGGGAATCTTTGGTCCTGGTTGACTCTAAAAACTTACAGTTGATTCTGGAGAGAGGAAGACATTTTTTAAAAGTGCTGTAGTCTCAAACACACACCTGTTGAATTTATATTTCTGTTATAGGTCTGTTTTATCAACAAAGCCAGGTCCTCTTAGGACTTAAACTATTATTTAATTAACTCTCACAACAGAAGGGAAGTAAACCAGAGAGTATAGCTTTGTATGTCATCAAAACCACATACCTGGAGTATCTTGTAACTCTCTTTGTTTTCAAATAATTGACATAAAATTCACATATCATACAATTCATCTTTTTAAACTGTACAATTCAGTGTTTTTTAGGATATTCATTATGTTGTGCAGCCATCATCACTATCTAATTCCAGAACATTTAAATTGCCCCCAAAAAGAAACCTCACACTCATTAGCAGGCCTTCCCCATTCCCCATAACCCCAGCTTCTAGCAACCACTAATCTATTTTCTATCTATAGATTTGCCTATTCTGAACATTTTATAGAAATAGAATCATGCAACATGTGGCCTCTTCTGTCTGGATTTCTTCATTTGGCATAATGTTTTAAAGGATCATCCATGTTATAGCATGTATCAGCACTTCATTCTTTTTTGTGGCTGAGTAATATTCCATTATGTGAACATGCGACACTTGCAAAGATTTTTCTCAGTAAAGCATTCTTTGTAGCCTGTTTTTGGTTGTGTAGATTTCAATTTATTGTACATCTTCTTTAACTTTTTGATGAAATAAAATTTAAGCATAACGAATTGAATTGATTAAGAGTATCACAAGCTTATGTAATGATGTTGAATTTAATCCTGTAATGAAACTCAAAATGTGTTGTGCATTTTTTGTTTGTTTTGTTTTGAAACTTGAAGGTGACTACTTTTGTATCCCTTACCATTTTGACAAAGTTCTCCTTTTAGGTTGTTGCCAACAAGCTGACCTAGAGGCATTGGTAACCTCAAATGGCATGAATATCTTGATCTTGGGGTAGAATGTCTTGAAAAACTGAAGCACATTATGTACAAATAAAAAATTCAGCCTCCACTTAAACTATTTTCCCCCTAGCACCTACTTTAGTATTTGTGGATATGTTTATTCCTCATGTTCAGTGTCCTTGAATCCAGTGAGGTATCCTGGATGCCGTAGGTGTTTAGTAAGGGTCTGTCAACTGACTGAGACTCACTGTAGAAGATGACAGCTCAATACAACGTGAACATTAGGCTAACACTGTTTCCATTGCCCAGGAGTAAGTTGTAGAGTTCACTAAGGTGTTCATTAGTGGCATTAAGAAAGTCTTGGTGATCAGGATCATATCACTTTCTGAGTCCGGAGTGTTCGGATGTTATGAACTGGGAATATAGACCAACGGCTTCTTTCAAAAAACTTTCCAAACAGAAAATTTCTCAGAGTATGTGGACTGAAACACATTTTTTTCTTGACACTGAACAGGTATCTTATGGGGAAAACTGCAGTTGCTTTCCTGTAAGGAGGCTTAACTATGAGTCATAGAGGAGAGGTAGGTGTTTTAAGAGCTTTTAAGGAATAGTTTCTTCCAATTAATGAGAATTCAGGATCTTTGAATTAAGTGAGTTATAGTGCTCTGCAAGGAACACTAAGTTCACATGTTTAAGTATTATTATTAAACATGTAATGAATCAGATTCTGAACTTTTTAGTCATGTCTTACTGCTTTAAGAGCTACATTAACTACAAATTATACCCAACTCCTCTTCAATAATTAATTTCTTAATTTATCCTGGCTACAGAGTCAGTGGAATTCAATATGTTATGACTCTCGGTTTGATCTATTTATCCTCTGAAAACAAACTGTAACCACAAATATAAAATATTCATGGTTTTTCCCCAAATAATAACTAGTCTCTATTCATAAAATTAATTACTTTTGATTTGCAGAGTAGCAATTTTCTTTATTTCATTTCTCTCTCCTTTTCATGCAGACTGTGGTTGCATGCACTCGGGGAAGTTTGCCAGGATAAATCATTTCATTGATGAATTCATTTCTGCTCTCATGTCTGCACTAGAGATTTAAGATCTTGCTTAAAATTTTATGTGGTGGGAATTTTGCTTCTGGCAAAAATTCAGGTTTTTCTGGAAGCATGATCTACATTTCCCCATTCTCTTTAACTCCCCAAAGATTTTTTCTTTAGTCTTTCTTTAAAATTTCAGAATGTTACGGGGGTATAAATGTTTTGGTTACATAATTTACTTTTGTACAGTTTGAGTCAAAGTTATGAGTGTGTCTATCATCCTGATAGTGTGCATTGTACCCATTAGGTGTGAATTTACCCATCCTTACCTCCCCCCAACCTGTTTGATTTCCGTTAAGTTTTGCTTTCATATGTGCACCTAAGTGTTGACCCATTAGTTCCAATTTAGTAGTGAGCACATCTGGTGTTTGTATTTCCATTTTTGTGATACTTCACTTAGAAGAATGGTCTCCATTTCTGTCCAGGTTGTTACAAAAGGTATCAATTTACCATTTTTTTAATGACTGAGTAAAACCCCATTGTATACATATACCACATTTTATGAATCCACTCATTTATCAATGGGCACTCATTTATCGATGGGCACAATTGTGAATTGTGCTGCTAGGAACATTCATGTGCAACTGTCTCTTTTATAGAATGTCTTTTTTTCCTTTGGATAAATACTCAGTAGTGGGATTGCTGGATCAAATGGTAGGTCTACTTTCAATTTTTTGAGGTATCTCCGTGCTACTTTCCATAGAAATTGTACTAGTTTGAGTACCACCGACAATGTATAAAGTGTTCGTTTTTCTCAGCATCCATGCCAGCATCTGTTGTTTTGGGACTTTTTGATGAAAGCCATTCTCACTGGAGTTAGGTGATATCTCACTGTGGTTTTGATTTGCATTTCCCTGATGATTAGGACGTTGAGTATTTTTTTAAACATGTTTATTGGCCATTAATCTAACCTGCTTTCCTAGCATAGTAGGTGGTGTGTCAGTCTCATAATCCGAAGGTCCAAAATGATTTGAGTAACACTGAAAACTTTATTTGACCAGCAATTTGCCAACTGCTCAGACTGTAGCAGGGAAATGGAACTCCCTCATTCAGGACCAGAGCCTCAAAGGAAGGACTTGATTGAGAAGATGAACTTGTGTTTTATTTCCAGTTACATCAACTCAAGTGTTTACTATGTGCATTTCTGGTACATTTTCTCATTTAATTTCCCCCTAGATCTTTTGATGTTGGTATTTTCATTTTATACCTTTTATAGATAAGAAAACACAGTGCAGAGAAGTCCAATAACTTACCTAATATCACACAGCCTGTTTCAGCCAATATATTCTTTCTAACTCCAAAGCCTGATGCTTCTTCTCTTTTTATTACTAGGAGATCAGTTTGCTGTTTATGATTTACTAGCTTGCTTACATTGGGTGTGATGATACATTTTAGAATCTCATTTTTTTTCTTACAGATCCCCTTCATGATTTTTCCCATGTGCTTTTTTCTCATATTTCATTTTTGTCTTTTTAAAAAAAATTCATAATTTACTTTTTCTAGTTTACCATCTTGAAAATTTTGACAAATGCATATGGTCATGAAACGACCGTTGTTATCCATATATAGAACAGTCCCATCCATACTACTTTAACTGCTCATTCATTACTTGTTTACCGGGTGCCCCGACATCTGTTAAGCACCATGTTAGACACTAATAATTCAGCAGAGCTCTGACACTCATGATGTGCACAATCCAGCTAATCTGATTCG